AATATAATGATATTTTATATTATAATATGTGTTACAAAAGAATAATTTTAATTTTAATGCAAAATAAAATTTAAATTTAAATTATTTATTTTAATAATCTTAGTCTTCTCGTTATTTGAATACTTACATATAACAAATTTAGTTAAATTATTTGTTTATTTTGGTCATTTTAATTCTATTTTGCTCATTTTAATTCTATTTTGCTATAAATGTGTAATTATCGCATAACGATTTTATATGACATATATTAAATTATAATAATAAAATAAACACTAATTTTAATATTAAAAATAATAATTAAATTAGAAAAAGAATTAGTAATATAAAACTAAAAGTAATTCTAACTATTTAATTTACTTTTATATTCATTTGAAAAATAAAAAATATGTAGAAATAGAAATTATATAAAATTGATTAAAAAAATTAAATATAAATATATTGTAGTGGGATTATCATGTAATAATTTTGTATAATATATATATATATATATTAAATTATAAGATTGTAAAATACACACTCGAAATTAAATTAAAATATCAACTATACAAAAGAAATTCAATAACGACTAACCAAGAAAGAATCACATAATAACATCTAAACTCAAAAAAAATAAAAAAATAAATAAAAACATCCAAACGATAAATACATCTTAATGTGTGAAGTGACTAATCATCAGTAACATGATGTCAAAACATAAAAGAATTTGTTGTTCAGGTTTAGAACCTTTTTTTTTTCAAATAATTTTTTTTCCAATTAATTTTTTTTTCAATGAATTTTTTTTTCCAACTAATACTAACCGAGGGGGCAATTGGTAATATTACTTTAAACCTTAAGGAGGGGATTGTAATTTCTAAAATGTGAGGGGTGTCAATGTAATTTATTTAGTGAAGGCAAAATGGGTATTTAAAAAAATTAAATTGCTGAGGGGAGAATCTGTAATGAAACTTTAAACCTCAAGAGAAGGGATGCAATTTCCAATAGGTAAAAAGGAACTGTAATAAACATAAACCTCTGGAGGTGTCAGTGTAATTTACCCTTTTATTTATATCCTACCTAATTCCATAGACAAAATAATAATATTATGTGTAAAATGTGCATACTATATTATTAAGTTTTTTTTATTAAATATCTATAATATTTGTATAATATATTGTTGAGTTTCTATTATATTATATATGATATAATTTTAATATACGTACAATATATAATATATATTTTTAATTATAAATATCATTTTTTAGTTTTAATATGATTGTTAAATTTCTTATTGTGTTGTAGATCAAGTAGAGTCTGGGAGTGCGAGTGGGAGTGGGGATGGGGGTTACATTTGCGGCTTTGGGTTTGAGTGGGGTTGGGGGGAGAGTTTCATAAGGGTCGGGTTAGAGGTGCAAGCAAACAGTGGAAATGAGAGTGGGGAAGGGGTAGGGGGGCCCTAGTCCATACCCTACTCGTTGTCATTCTTAGGCGTGCATCCCTAAAAGGGTGCATACCATATGTACCTTATCACTAAATGTGAGTGTTTGGGAAATGGATTTTTTTATAAGTTTTTTTAGTTATAGGATATTATTAGAGAATTTTTTTTTTTTTTTTGTATTTGGGAAGATAATTAGGTTTTTTTGTGGTTGAATGTGATGTTTGTGAGAAAAAAAGTGAAATGATTATGGGATTTGATGAGATATTTTGTTCGGATTTATTTTTTTTTTGTTTTACAACCAATTTGTCTTTTAGTGGAAAAAAACAATAAATAAAAAAAAAACCAAAAAACCAAGTTCCCAAACACTACCATTGTATAATCAAGCTAACAAATTTTGTAATATTAACCACAAAATGCATAACTTTGTCACGAATTAGCATAATAAATGTCTACACTTTTGTGGCTTAGTTACACATTTTGTGGCTTTGGTTATAATATTGTTACATCAATTTGTGACAAAATTATACATTTTGTGATTCATATTATGAAATTTAATGATTTGGTTACACATTTGGTGGTAGGTGCATATGGTATACACCCCTAAAAGTGCACACCATAGCATTTCTCGTTCAAAGCATTTTTCTAGAGTTTTAGAGTAATTTTACAATTGTTTTTATTGTTGAGTGACTTTAAGTTAGTTGATAAAAAATTTAAAATATTTGTATATAATATATAAGAGTGCATATAATATGTAATATATTATTAATTTAAAATTTGTTAATTAATGCTCAAATTTATTTAAGTAAATTACATTAATTTCTTCTAAAAATTGGAGAAATTATAGTAATTACACAATTTTGACATAATTATGTTAACCTCACTTTAATGTAAATGATATGAAAATACAAAAATAAACAACGTAAAATATATATCGTCATATAAAAAAGATAATAATATTATTTTTTTCATTCATATAACTAATAAATTATTACTAAAAATGACACTAAGTATTATGTGAATTAAAACTTCAAGATAATTTAATGCAATTATGTCAAAATTATAAGACTTATTATATATTTTTTCAAATTTCAAAGGAGATTAGTAATTTGCCCTATTTATTGCTTATATTTAGTTTTTTTTTTCTTCTTCTCATATTTATTTTAAAGGGAAAGGGGTGCCTGCTGTACAGCAGGTACTGCTGTGCGCCAAAAGGGCAGGAAAAAAAAGAAAAAAAATCTGTTGTTTTTGCATGCACGGCACACGCTGCTGTGCTCACAGCAGGTACCCCTTGTCCTTTATTAAATTGGTTGGAGAAGTCTCACCACTCATATTTATTATCAATAAAACAATGACCGTTCATGTAATAAATTAACAGTAAAATTCATTTTATCTTTTGTGGTTTAAGACCAGAACAATTCACCCTTGTAGTTAAAATATAACTAAAAAGTTCTTAAGTGATATTGAGCTAAAGTGTCACCATTAATTTTTATTCAAACTAACGGAATATGTATCATACATATAATTTTTTAGAGCAAGCATAGTTTTCTAGAGAAAAAAAATTAATAAACACAACATAAAACAATTTCACCTTCATGTTATCTAAACTTCAAATTAGATTGAAATGTTAATTAAAAAAAAGAAAATTAAAATATAAAATAATTAATGATTAAGAGATTATCTAAAATGGAATTAAATTAAAATGTTAAAAATTACAATAAATAATTAAAAAAATTAGGATTCATTATGATCTAAAAATAATTAAACTAAAATTATATTAAAAAGTTAGAAATTACAATAAATAATTAAAGATTTTGATTTAATTGAGTTAATATTAAAAATTAGAAATTATGTGTATGAGAGATAAAAGAGAAAAAAATAACAAAAACATGTATAAGACTAGAGAGTATTACAATCATTTTACATTTGTAGTTAAATGTTGCACTTTGATCCAAAATCATTTCAAAACAACATAGGACTTTCTAATTATATTTGAAATGTTCTAATCCCAACCCACAATGAGGTAAAGTGAATTTTGTGCATAAATTAAATATGCTATATAAATATAAACCGTCGTTGTATTGTTATTAAAAAACCTAACTCCGGGCCTTTTTTTTTTTTTTTTCCCTTTTTGAAAGTTTTTTTCCCATTTTGAAAGATTTTTTTTATTATTATTATAAATTTGATTATGAAAAATGCTATAAAGTGCAATTCACGCCAAAAGAGCAACTGCAACTAACGCTACTCTTCATTTTCACTAGTAAAGTACCAAAGAATATATATTATTTTGCATTTTATCTGATCATTTTTTATTTATATGTTTCAACGCTACTCTTTATTTTATTTATTTATCTACACAAAATTATTTAAAAAGCATTCCAAGACTTTCCAAATGTAGCTAGTCACTGAATATAACTAATATGGTAACTATCGCATTTGAAGGACTAAAATAGGATGGGATTAGCTACAATAACCAACAAACATCTTTTTAAAACTCTATAGAGAGCTCTAAAAGACTAATTTGAGCAAATTTATCTGAAAAAAGTTCAAATGTTTGCTCAAAAGGACTAAAATTGTATTCCTGCTTAAAAATCTAATTCCTCGACAACATTTCCTCTTCTTTTTTTTTTTTCATTTTGAAAGTAAAAATGGTTTATAAATCAAATGGTAATAAAAATGGCCGTATAATTTTCAAAAGAAAAAAATTGACACCCCTAAAAAGTTGAGAAAATTACAAATCAGTAATAACTTCACAAAATATTTACAGATTCATAAAAAAATTTATAAAATTTACCACTGATTTGAAATTATTTTTGAAAACATACACTAATTTACAATTTTTCCTAAATTTTTTTTCTTACTTTACGTATAATTACATCAAACATTACATGTTAACTTTTGATTTATTATAGACTTAATTATGTTAAAAATTCAATTATTGTGAATTTTAAGTTGTGGGTCTCTTTTATTTTCACAATGCTAATCAGAAGAGTGACATAATTTTCAAATCAATGACACATTACCTTGTTTGGATGTTGTTATTATTTTTTTAAATGCCTTTCTTTTCAAATCAACCTTCAATTGCTTAATTTTCAAATAAAGCACATCAGCAATGAAGAGAAATCCAACTTCCCAAGTCAATGCATTTAGCTTGCATTAATAAGAAAGCAATTTCCCAAGTCAAGAGCTGAAATTCATCCTTTCCTAATAAGACAGCAAAATCTGAAATTTTGACATTAATATCTTAAAACAATTTCAATTGACGACAATCCCACCATTACATGGTTGGAGGTGGTTAGATGTATACAATCGTAAGTTGCTTATGTAATTTGAACTAGTGACAGTAAAAGCGCTAACAAAACAACCTTACCACTATGCCACGGCCTGCCTTCCCTTGCAAGAGCTCTACATATGCTTATGTAATCGGCTGGTTAAAATGCTGTAAATAAGATTTGTTGAATTGCAAAGTTAAGAACAATAAAACAAATCCACTTCCCTGAAAGAGTTTATCAACAAAGAGGATATTTCAACAAGATCAACAGCATAATCCAAACTGGGTCCTATACGCCTGTTCTCAAATATGCACATATAGAGCAAACAAAAGAAGAAAATTTAAATATGAATATTAAGGACATGGACAAATGTTTAACATCATCTACATGTTTTACAGTCTTGATCTCCATGTACAAAACCATATAATATCAAAGAAAGGTCGATGGATAAACAAGATGTTTGTACTCATTCAAAAGAGGGGGGGAAAGACATAAAACAAGGGTATTGCTGCTCTATACAAGCCAGCATTGTGCTATCTAACACTTGACTACTGCATTGGCTAACCTACAACTGCATTAGCTTAACATGTACTATAACATCCAGGTGCATTACAACACCATATGACAGAATGCAAAGATGACATGATCCAGCATCCACACATTCTCATCCACAACTGTCTACTCATGGCGTAGCACTGTAGCGGAGATGTTGCTCATAGAAGTTTATCAACTGCCATCATAGAAAAATCAAGATTCAAACAAGACATTTGGATATACAATCCCGCCACTTAAGCAAAGAAAAAAAGTTCTTAGTTGATACTAGTGTTAATGAAGAAGAAAGAAATCATAAAGGACATAGATGAGTAATTACCAAAAGTGGATAGTGAGCCTTGAGAAATTTATTATCCACCATCACTTCTTTCCCATCAGACCTACCAAAAGGCAACCATCAAATATAATTCCATTTAACCAAAATGAACTTCAAAGTACAATAACCCTTACTACATTACTATTGTTCATCCGTTCATGAACTAAAGTCATCCTCAAATATATTGACAGCAACACTAAATATGAATGTCACCAAAAGGTGGACCAATATTACAGTGGAAAAACCCTAATCAAAACTAAAATTAATAATCCCTATTGATTGATAAATGTTCATGAATCATGAACCAACTTAGTTCCAAAGCAAATTCAAAAGCAAATATGTTAACAAGTCCACCACACAATGAGTAATTTAAAAAGAGAGAACTATTATATTGTTGACCATTATAATAAAATAACATGCATAGATGTGTTTGTTTAGGAGATAAAGATGGGTTGAAATATACTGGGACATAAAGATAATGTTCTAAAGAGTAACAAGAATGACAACAATTCAATAGCTAGTAGATCAAATTTACTCCTTACATAGTAGTGTATATTTTGCTTTATATTTGTAAAGCATCAAAACCATTCTAAACACCATAAGCTACTCAACGAGACTTTTAAAAACTATATGAATTGGCAAGTAAATTATTTCTTAAGATTTGCTTTACAAGGAACTAATTCAATTTTGGCCTTTCTTTTTTTCTCTCTCCCTTCCTATATCCTTTTTGAGAATAATTAATTTAGCCACCACCAATTTTGGAATTCAACAATAGTGAAGAATTTAGCACTTATTCTGAACAAGGACTAACAACACACTTAAAGTTTTTGAATAAGGTCTTCCTATCTTCTGAACAAGGACTAACAACACACTTAAAGTTTTTGAATAAGGTCTTCCTATCTTCGTATTATATTTGTTTATTTTTTCCCATTATGACGTAATTTGTTTGCGTCAATTTATCAAACATCCACATAAGTTTGGAAGCATGAGCAGTAGTAGTTTTTTTTTTCCCTTTTCTTCCTTTTTCCTTTTATTTTATTAAAATAAAAAATAAAAAATAAAAATTACTATTGCTCATGCCTCCAAACTTATGTAGATGATTGACAAATTTCGGCAAACAAATTACATCATAATGGGAAAGTTTATCTAATACAGTTTCATTTACTTTAAAAAAAAAAAATTAAAAATAAAAAAGAAGAGAGTGAGAGATGGAAGGAAGGAAGGAGGTGGATGAAGAGGCTAGGGACTAGGGATGGGAAGGGGAGGCGGAGGGAGATCTCTTCCACAGCCCAACAAAACCCATCCACCCAAAATTGGGTGGGTATGGAGGGGGGGAAGAGCTCCTCCTCTCTTTTAATTATCAAATTACTCTTTTATCCCTTGGTTTTGGCTACTTTTTCTATGGAGTTATAATAAAAAAAAAAAAACATGAAGCTCATTCTCTTTCATCCTCCTTTGCTTTCCACTCGACGAATCAAACTTGGAGGGAACTAACAATCCCATTACTAAGATGCTTCTTTACAGCATTAGGCTTCACAGCATAGTTCTACATTTTTCCAATGTTCAAAACTTCAGAGCTTTAGAAACGAAATAAATAAATAAAAATAAGAGCAAGCTGTCTACATCATAGCATTTCTAAGCCTCAAGATAAGTCAAGCAATCTTGTCGAAAGCCCTATACAACCCAAGAAACAAATCCATCCATAGCCCACACAGGCACTTGGATAACTAACCAGTTTGCCTAGCAACTAGGAGACTACATCAACCTATTGACAACAAATTTGCTAGCAGCTACCTATTCGTCAGACATCTAAACACTGAATACCAATGTCTTCTCAAAATTTCTTATGAAAGCTATTATCCATACTGAGAACTTTACATAAACACCAAATAGGTACAACCAAGTTCATAAGACCCATTAATTAAAAAACCTCACCATACAGAGAAGTTCATTACACACCCAGAGGAAACACACCCTTCAAAGAGGGAAAAGCTTCTACACAAAACAAAATCTACCGAGTAGATTAACATATTACAAGGAGAATCCAAGAGCTAGGCCAAACAACAATCAATGGACACGCCTACGAGTTCATAGGAGTCTTACAACTTGATTTCTTAGACTTGATAAAGAGGCTAACCTCTCGAACAAGTTTAAGATTAGCTATTCTCTCAAGGAGCTTTTTCTTGTTTTCCTCTCTTGAAGATGAGTTTGTCCATGGAACAACGAATGTTCCGTCTGAAAGGGATTGAGGAGCCCCTTTGGGACATGAAGATCGTCTAGAAGCTAACTCATTTATGTCACCCACATCCCCGGAAATAACTTTCTCTTCCTTTGAAACCTCTTCATTCGGAATATCTTTTGAGGGGTTATTCACTTCCAAGGAAGAGCAATTCGCATTGAGCACACTCTTAAGATCCGCCTTAAAGGAAACCTTCTCATTAGCTACACAAGTATTAATTGAGAATATCAAATGCTTTCGATGAATAGTTTACCAAAGGAGCATCGACAACTTCCTTGCCTTTTTTCTTTTTCACTTCAACCCATTCACTTGGATTGCCTCCCTCCATCGTCTCGGCCACTACCTTGGCCTTCCACTCTTCTTTGAGTTTACTAGGAGCTTGAGTTTTCGGTTTACTTGGACACAAACTTGTAGCATGGCCAAATATTTTGCATTCTCCACACACTTGGGGTTTCCAAGGAACTTCCACTTTGATTTCGAACAGTTCGCCATATCCTAAGTTTACAACAAAGGAAGATGGAATCTCCTTAGTAGCTTGTATATCAATACAAACTCTAGCAAATGTTACACGGCTATGGTTTCGAGTAAATTCATCAAGGTACAACGGATTACCGATTAAACTTGCTATGTAACTCAATCCCTCCTCAGTCCAAAGTTCAAGCGGCACATTGAAAATTTTTACCCATATCAACACACTAGAGAAGACATTTTTAGTAAGGGTCATACCGGGGTACCATTTCTTGATAACAATCAATTTGCTTCTAAAATAATAGGGCCCCTCATCAAGAATGGACTTTAAAGCTTCTTCATTTTTAATTATAGTACTTTATTTATTTACTTTTATAATTATAGTTACTTTTTTTAGTTAAGAAATTTATAAATATTTGGTTTCCTATTTTATTAGAGATTTTAGTGGCCTTTTTCTATTAGGGTTTAGTAAGCTATTACAATTAGGATTAATGGTCTATAAATATTAGGTTTTTGCATTGTATTTTTCAAAGTTAATTAAGAAGAATGAGTGTATTGGGTTGTAACCCATGTGTTCTTCTCTCCTCTTTCTTCCATCACACATGTCTGCATTTGAGAGCGTCTCTAAAATGCACCTTCTAATAGTAAAAGTAAATAGTAAGAAATAGAAATTGAGTTGGATGTAAAAAACACAACCATAATAGTAAAAACAACAATAACATAATTCCCCAAATCCATTCTCTTTATCATGTATTCATCAACTACAATCTGCAACTAGTTTCTTATTACTTAATTACTTCTGTTTAACAAATTTCATGCAAGCATCAATATCTTACATCGCTTTCCCTTCCATCAATTTCAGTAAACACATGCTATCTATAAAGCATGGACACTCCAAAATTGATGCCGTGGCAGTGTCCGACATGGGGACACGCCGAAGGCATGTAGGGACACGCAGGGACATGGCAGGGACACACGTGTCCATATCGGGACATGGCGGGCCTCACTTCTTTTTTTTTCCTTCTTCTTTTGCCTCTCTTATTTAGTGCTTTTGTGAAGAATATTGTTGGATGTTGAATGTTTTTCCCTTCTCGTCTTAGTTCTTGTTATCGTTTATTATGACTTTTTTGTGAATGGATGATCTATTAATTTTTTTAAATGTAGTGGTTATATTTATTGAATTAATGTTACTATGTTAGTGTTTGTTAATTTTGATTTAGGATGAATATAATATGAATCTACATAACACATAAAAATATATATTAAAAATAAAATAAAAATTCGCCGTGTCTCCCACTGTGTTCGTGTCCCCATTTTTTGGAAATTGTCGTGTGTCCCGTGTCCGTGTCCGTGTCCGCGTCCGCGTCCGCTCTTTATAGCATGCTATCCTTGTATCATCTCAAGTGTATCCATCAATTCCATTGTCTCACTTGTCAAGATTCCAAATTCAGAGTCATCAGAAAACTTCCACCAAATCCATTTTTTACAAGTCAAGATTCTAAAAGTCAAAATCATTATAGAATTTCTACTCCCTCGGACTAACATCTATACATGGGATGGGAATCCTAGCCTATTTCATCTTAGGAGGGCACCCCATAATTTCAAGCATAGGCCTTGCTATTTTTAACATGTGAAAATTAACATGCGTAAAGAACCAGTGTCAGGCACACACAATAATATAATGCAAATCTCTTTACACATTGATAGCTCACATCGTACCACAAACACTGGCCAAAGAACCATAAAATGCATCTCCAACAAAGTCAACTCATAAGAACTCCCAAAATAGACCTCCACAAACAAAAACTACAACTTTAAACATTAATGCTAACACGAGAGCATCATGGATTGGATAATTCGTGCAAAAATTCTATTTCCATCATATGACATACAACTAGACAAATTTCTGTAACATTTCTTCAAGAGATGGACTCCAATACGGTAGGAAAATGAAACTTAATGACAAAAGAAATTCATATCAACTTCAGTTATGCTCGGTTAGAGCTTAACTAAATGGTGTGCCATGGTTAGACCTTAGAGTTGGAGGTCGTATTTGTGACACGTAATAGGTTAGTTTATTTTAATATAAGAGTATTTTAGTCTTTGGTGTTTGTTAGAGTGTATGTTCTCTATTTCTTTTGTATAAGTGATGTAATTAGTTTGGTATTGAGGTTAATGGAATAATTCATAATTTCTCTCTTATTAATCAACATGGTATCAAAGCTTGATGTCCTGTATGTAGTGATGCAAACGAACAGAGTTGTTCGCGAGCTCGACTCGGCTTAGCTCGTTAAGTAAATGAATGAATTTAAGCCTAACTTTTAGGCTCATTAGTAAATGAGCCGAGCTTGAGCTTC